CTCCCTCATCCTCCTCTCTCTCCTTCTCTTATTTCTCCCTCTCTCTCTCTTTCTCTCACAGACCTCTCTCTCTCTCTCTCTCTCTCTCTCTTTCTTTCTCTTTCTTTCTCTTTCTCCCTCATCCTCCCTTTCTCTTTCCCTCTCTCCCTCTTTCGCCCTCCCCCTCTCCCTCTCTCTCTCTCTCTTTCTCTCTCCTTCTCCAATAAAAAACAAAAAAACTACAAACCCCACACAGTTTAATCTCTTGTATCTGTTGTATTTGTATTAAACTGGAGCAAAGCATCATGGTCTTTGTAGTTCTTGGTGCTTTTCTCCTCAGTGGAGCTTCTGTTTGAGTCTAAACTCAAATCGTTTCGCCGTCTTTTTTTTTTTTTTTTTTTTTTTTGTCGCCGCGGAAACGGAACAAACGACTTCATTCGTGATGCAGAAACGGAGGGAGGGGGCGGGGCCTGATTCTCCCGCAGCAATGCATCATGGACGATTGAGTTTTGGTTCACAAACACTAAATAACCGTGAGCGCCACATCGGCTCCACGTTCTCTCCATCTCTCCATCGCTCCATCGCTTCATCTCTCCATCTTTCCATCGCTCCATCGCTCCATCGTTCTGCTCTCCGGATGAATATTTTATAAGAGCTGGATATTACACCTCTCTTTCTTCTCTTTCTCCCCTCATCCCCCCATCTTTCTTCTCTTTATTCCCCCATCTGTCTTCTCTTTCTCTCCTAATCCTCCCATCTATCTTCTTTCTCTCTCTCTTTCTCCTTCCCCCATATCGTCTCTCTCCCTCTTTTCTTTTCCCCTCGTTTAGTCCTGGTTTAGACCTGGTTTAGTCCTGTTTTAGTCCTGGTTTAATCCTGTTTTAGTCCTGTTTTAGTCCTAGTGTAATCCTGGTTCAGTCCTGGTTCAGTCCTGGTTTAGTCCTGGTTTAGTCCTGTTTTAATCCTGGTTCATTCTTGGTTTAGTCCTGTTTTAGTCTTGTTTTAGTCCTGGTTTAATCCTGGCTAAGTCCCGTTTTAGTCCTGGTTTAGTCCCGTTTTAGTCCTGTTTTAGTCCTGGTTTTAGTCCTAGTTTAGTCCTGGTTCAGTCCTGTTTTAGTCCTGGTTCAGTCCTGTTTTAGTCCTGTTTTAGTCCTGGTTCAGTCCTGTTTTTAGTCCTGGTTCAGTCCTGTTTTAGTCCTGGTTTAATCCTGTTTTTAGTCCTGGTTTAGTTCTGGTTTAGTCCTGGTATTTAGTATCTTAGTCGTACAAAATAAAATCTTACTTATGAAATGTTTTGCTCTTTCTTCTTCTTCTTATTTCGCTCTTTCACTCGTTCGTAGCGACGCAAAAATCCGGCGTCTTTTCTCGCTGATCCTGTAAAAAACTTAGACCTTAGACCATGAAAACCCTGAGATCTAACGTTTCATATCCATCTGAGAGTTTGACGTCATCACATTCATCTTCTTCTTTTCCGTTGCAGGTTGTTCGAGACCCTTCAGTCCCTGTTCTGGTCCATCTTCGGTCTCCTGAACCTCTACGTCACGAACGTCAGGGCCAGACACGAGTTCACGGAGTTCGTGGGGGCGACCATGTTCGGGACGTACAACATCATCTCGCTGGTGGTTCTGCTCAACATGCTGATCGCCATGATGAACAACTCCTACCAGCTCATCGCGGTGAGCTCCACACACAACCCGAGAACCCGAGAATCTCAAGAACCCAAATGCCCCAAGAACCTGAACCCAAACTCCCCAATAAGCTGAACCCAAACTTCTCAGGAACCCAAACACAAATGCCCCAAGAACCTGAACCCAAACGCCCCAAGAACCTGAACACAAATACCCCAAGAACATGAACCCAAACCCCCCAAAGAACCTGAACACAAATGCCCCAAGAACCCAAACCCAAACTTCCCAGGAACCCAAACACAAAGGCCCCAAGAACCTGAACCCAAACACCCCAAGAACCTGAACACAAAATACCCCAAGAACCTGAACCCAAACCCCCAAAGAACCTGAACCCAAATGCCCCAAGAACCCAAATGCCTAAAGAACCCAAATGCCTGAAGAACCTGAACCCAAATGCCCCAAGAACCCAAACCCAAACTTCCCAGGAACCCAAACACAAAGGCCCCAAGAACCTGAAACCCAAACGCCCCAAGAACCTGAACCCAAATCGCCCCAAGAACCTGAACCCAAATGCCCCAAGAACCTGAACCCAAATGCCCCAAGAACATGAGCCCAAACTCCCCAAGAACCTAAACCCAACGCCCAAAGAACCCAAACTTCCCCGAAACCCAAACCCAAATGCCCCAAGAACCTGAACCCAAACCCCCAAAGAACCTGAACCCAAATGCCTAAAGAACCTGAACCCAAATGCCCCAAGAACCCAAACCCAAACTTCCCAAGAAACCCAAACGCCCGAAGAACCTGAACCCAAACGCCCCAAGAACCAAACGACACTAATCTGAGCTGTGTTCTAATGTTTCCTCGTCACCAACAGACCTGGAGTTGTGTTTTGTTTCATTCACACACGTTTAACACATACATTCTGCACATTTAGGCTGAATTCTTCTCTCAAAACTTAAAACACTCTGTTCCACCTTGTGATGTCATGTGGTGATACTGCAGAAAGTGCTCCACTGTGGTTTTTAAACTCCGCACACCTTCACTAGAATCATTTGGATCATTTCAGATCTCTGGAATTGGCGATCTCTACTGAACTAAAGGAGCTGTTAAAGTGCCGCATCATGACATCACAAGGTGGAACAAAGTGTTTGGAGCTTTGGAGATGTAGAAGGACTAATAATAAAGAGTTACTCAAACATGCGAATCAAACAAAACACAACTCGCTTTCTCTCTCCCTTCAGGTCCAGGTTTCGCACACACTCACCCAAGACTGTGCAGCTTCAACGCAACATTTGGAAAAAACTTCACCAACTGGAAACAAATTTGGACTTGGAACCAAAAATGTAAAGAGGAAGGATCTTCTTCAGGACTAAAGGATCTGGTACGCCAAACCGTCATTGGAGGAATCTGGGTTTCCAGACTCGTTCTCCTTATGGACTTCTTGGGTCTTCGCAAGAGTTTTTCACGAACTCGCTCGACGTTCTCTCCCGTCTTTCCAGATCCTTTAGTCCTGCAGAATCAGCCGAACTCTGCACATTTTTGGCTCCGAGTCCAAATTTGTTGCCAGTCGGTGAAGTTTTTCCAAATGTTTGGGTAAGTGTGTTCAGCAGATTCCAAAAACGCAAAATGACTTCTGTTTGGGAGTGAACGGCTCAACCTGAAAACAGAACAAAAATAAAACATCAACTATAAAATCTTGATCTGTTTTTATACATTCTGTGAAAATTTGAGGTGATTTCAACAAGAACTGGCAAAATTATTGACCTGCGAATGTCAATTTTTTTGGACACTCTGTACTTTTACTTTTTACTCTTAAAGTACATTCTTCAGTAGGTGTGATACTTTTACTTTTACGTGAGTTATCCTTTGCTTTGTATCTGTTCTAAAATCTCCTGTGTTTTTTTTTCTCAGGACCACGCGGACATCGAGTGGAAGTTCGCTCGCACGAAGCTGTGGATGAGTTACTTCGACGAGGGCGGGACTCTTCCTCCGCCCTTCAACATCGTGCCCAGCCCCAAGTCCGTGTGGTACCTGCTCATGTGGCTCCACGGGCGTCTGTGCGAGCGAGGCCAGCCCCCGGGACGACCCCCACAAGTGCGAAAACCTCCGAGAGTTCACGGTGAGACCAGAGACGGAGCGAGAGGGACGGGGGAGAGGTCTAAAGGCCAATTTATGTCGACGCGTAGCCCTAGTCTAAACGTCGCAGGCAGCACGGGAAGCGATGCACATTCCATGTCGGCTTTTCTTTCTTTCAGTATACATTGAGAAATAATGTGTTTAGTGCAGCTTTGCGCATATGTGTTTACATTTTACAGAAACGAAACTTAAAGGTTGTATGGAGGATTTTTTTTTTTTGTTTTCAAACTGTCAGTGAAAGATTAAAATACCATCACAGAGACGCAGCAGCTTTGTAATTATGATGACCAAAAAAAAAGAACGAAAATCTATCAACTGTGGACGTAGTGAGGACAGATAAACATCAGCCAATAGAAAACGAGGCTCCCTCATTTTCTATTGGCTGTTAGGTTGTCAATCAAACTCCCTAGTGTAACTGACTCGTCGGAGCGCGGGGATTACGTGGTTTACGCAGCGGTTCTTAGAGGCATTTTCGAACTGTCGCTTCCTCGCATTTCGCACAAAGTTTGTCGCGACGGCGGACGAGAATCCACGACCGGTTCGCGGCGAAAGAAAGTCCGTTTTTGAGGTCGCTGAAAGAAGAAGAGAAGAGGAAAAGGAGCGAAGCCAAACTGAGGTGATTCTTGGAGATCTCGTCCAGCGATGGCGCGACCGAAGCAGACGAAGGGTCTAAAAACTGACGCGTCGGTCGCTGAATTACTTCTAGACAGGAAACTTCAACAGTGATTCTGAACGCGCACAAGGACTGTCGCTGTATTTCTCTTCCCTTAAAAAAATCCTCTATACAACCTTTAAAACCGCATGACTAATTTACATAAACAAAGCGCTCATAAAACAGCTCCTGGTACGAGGTTCAGCTTCTGTCGGACTTAAAAAGGACACGACTCAGTGGAATATGCGTGTCTTTCTGTGACAGAGGGATATTGTACTAATGTTGAGTCTGTTCTGTGCTTTTATCGCGTTAGAGATGGTTCATGTTAAACTTTTCAGAGATTATACGTCTGCGGGTCACACACACAGACACACGTTTATATGAACGGACAGATATCGTCGCCCCCTAGCGCTTTGGCAGTGAATTACATCGCGGTGCACGGACCTCGACGCAGATCCATAAATCAAAAACGACAGCGACAAGGCGACGGCGGCGGAGCGACGCAGAACTAGACTTCAGCCTTAAGGTGTAAGGAAGAGTGTGATCGGTCAAACCCGGAATTTACACCAGGAGCATCAGCAGCTAAACTCTGTAAAACTGTGTTCTCACGTTTAAACTCTAAACTCTGTGTATTTTCACTTTTAAAATCTAATGTAATAACGGCCGTTGGACGCACGTATGACGACTCGTGTTCTGCTGCTGCGATTACTTACTGATGACTACAGCGTGATCGGTCCAACAGATTTCCACACGTCTCCTTCCAAACACAAACTAACATGTTTTTCATTCTGCTCATTATTTATTCATTAGCTCATGTTTTAATGTTCATTCATGTTGATCATGTCGAACATTTAGAGCAGTTACTCTTAGGAACAGAAAATTACCCTGACAGGAAAATGGAAAATGTCCCAAGAACCCAAACCCAAACTCCCGAAGAACCAAACCAAAACTCCTGAAGAACTCAAACCAAACTCCTGAAGAACCCAAACACAAACGCTCCGACTGAATATATTAAAAGTCCTTTGTTACATGAACGGACGCCAACGTGTTTGGACCAGCGAGTTGATCTTCGTCAGGGCAAAGTAGTGAATTAGAGCAAATATTTGGGGATATTTCTCCTACAGCATCATCGTCAGAACTGAAGAACTTTCAGTTTTCTGATTTCTCTTCTATCTTTGTTTGCATGTTTGTGGTGTGTTTGTTTGTGTGTTTGTGGGTGCAGTGTGTGTCTCGTGTGTGTGTGTGTCTCGTGTGTGTGTGTGTGTGTGTGCGTCTCGTGTGTGTGTGTCTCGTGTGTGTGTGTGTGTGTGTGTCTCGTGTGTGTGTGTCTCTCGTGTGTGTGTTTTATGTAACACTGGCAGCAGATGCAGATGAGGAGATGTTAAAGCTGCTCCTCGTTTCACAGCTGAGCTTCATGTTTGGAGATCACACGCTTCCTCACAATCCAAACACACACACACACACACACAAACGTCGTACAGTCTGGGTTTATCAGGCAACACTCTCGACAAACCTGTGTCAAACCGTTTGTGTTTCGTGGGAAAAGTCTGTTTTATTAAATCAAATATGAAGCCAAAGCGAGTTACTCAAGACTCAAGACTGATCCAGACTTTTCCACAGACTCGGGTCGTTTCTCTTCACTGGTTTTGTGTTTTGTTAAAGTCGCTGTCGTCAGATGAACACAAACGACACCAAGGACCCTAAATTAAGCATTTTTTTATGTCCAAAATGTAGTTTATGGGTCTGGTCAAGTGTTAACGGAGGGAAACAGGGTCAGATTTTTGACATTCAAATGTCTCTTATTCAGAAACTAGAGGAACTATTGAAATAAGTAAAGTATCAGAATGTAGGAAAGAGTTACACTCCAACAGGGTCAAGTTAAACCTGTGAGATTCTTTCAAGTTCAAGACAAAAAATTTAAAAACTCATGTCGGTAACGGAGGGAATGAAATATGCAGCACTTTTTGGTCAATAAATCCAAACAGTGATAACTCTTGGTTCTCACTTACATATCCTTAACAAACTGGTTTGAATATTTGCTTCATATAGTTTTCTACCATAATGGTACAAGATTAGGTTGAAAAACCTCTCTGACTTTTTGACTCATGAGATTTTTTATTAAGAAAGTTCATGGTAACGGAGGGAAAGTAACGGAGGGAAAATTGTACAAAACAAGTAGAAGGTGCAGGATTTTACATCATTTGTCTTTTTTCTTCTGAAAAACTTTAATATTACTTCAAAAATGAAAGAAAACTATTTCTATAAAATATGTCAGTCCTTCCAAGAACATTTTTACATTTTAAATACTTTTTTTTTTTTTTTAATCCTGTCCCTTCATCAACAGTTCAAAGATGGAATAACACAAGATATGATGAAATACAAACATTTATTTACATGATTTTTAGGTCTTTGAAATTTGGGAAATAATTTTTCTTCCATGTTTCATTCATGGTCTGTTTAAAAACAGATGGAACTTTACAACCAAAAATGGAACAGAAAAAGGTCAACAGTTTGATAAACTCGAGTACATATGGATCTGTTCAATACATTTTTATATCAGATGAATGAACTTGAAGTTTGGTCTTGTTGTTTACTTCTGTTTGGTCCCGTCACATGTTTGTGTGTGTGAATTTTAGTATCTGTTTTGTTTTTTTTTTGTTTGTTTTTTTGTTTACATGCATCCTGAATTTCAAACTTCTGGTCATCGTACAATTCATTCTGGGACGGATCCTCTGAAAAAGTGAACATCAAACCTCCGTGTTTGTTTTCCCAGTGGGACGTGTCAAAGTGACAAAGTCTTTTGAACCATGTCACTTTTGTTTGTGGTTGTGATATTGTCATATTTTAGTTCTGGGATTCGGACGTCGTCATCGTGTGGTTGTTGATGTTCTAACAGCGGAAAACGACTCGAGAAACGGACTTCGGAGGTTTGCGAACTCCATAAGTGCAAAAGTGAATCAGATGTGTGTGAATCTATGTCAAACCTCCGTTCAAACTGTTTGAAGACTGGGCAGTATTGATCCACAGGAAGGACGTAAATCATCCCGAGTTTGTGGTGAACATTTTGTATGTGGAGCGACAACAAAGGAAACTCCCCGATCCCTCGTTCAACTTGGAGAGAATGTGGTCGATTTATTCATGAAGACAAGTCGTGTCTGGGGGCAACTCCTGATTTATTGATAAAACGTTCACGCTGAGGAAAAGGAAAAGAGGAGCTGGAAGTAAAACGCCCCGATTCAGCAACAAATGAAAATCCAACCCCCAAAGAGAAACAGATTTAGAGTTAGTTGATGGTCAGATAAAAGTTCTAAAGAGAGTTGGTCTCAAAAAATAACTAAATAAATAAAAAAACTTGTACTTCTGCAATATGGAAGCATTTTGGCTTCAGGACACATTTGTTTATGTTTTACAGAAATGAAACTTAAAACCACATGACTCATTTACATAAACTAATGTCTCAGGACCAGACCCAGACCCAGACCAGACCCAGACCCAGACCAGACCGAGACCAGACCAGACCCAGAGACCAACCCAGACCAGACCCAGACCATACCCAGACCAGACCAGAGCCCCAGACCAGACCAGACCAGACCCAGACCAGACCCAGACCAGACAGAGACCAGACCCAGACCAGACCAGACCCAGACCAGACAGAGACCAGACCCAGACCAGACCGAGACTGAGACTGGACCAGAGCGGGATTGAGACGAGAACGACAGAGACCTCTGAGACTGAGATCAGAACTGAGATCAGGACCAGACCGAGACCAGACCGGAACCACACTGGGACCTGACCAGGACGAGACCGAACCAGACTGGACCCACCGAGACTGAGACCAGACGAGACCAGAGCGGGACGGACCGAAGACCGAGACCAACTGAGACCAGACCGGGACCGAGACTGGAACTGGTCAGGACCAACTGGGACTGAGACTGAGACCAGGCCGAGACCAGACCGGGACCAGGCTGGATTGAGACCGAGACTGAGACCGGAACTGAGACCAGACTGGGAGAGACCGAAACCGGCCGACCAGACCAGAGCCACGGCAGGGCCGGAGCTGTGAAGCTTTGAAGCATTTTGGGGTGATCCGGAAGAAATCCTGGATTCTTCATTGTGGTAAATACGATTGACCAAACAGGATCATTTTATGGGGAAACACATTAATAGAGGGGGACTGTAGTCCTTGGCGGAGTCTGCGCTCTTGACTGCTTTTCTAGTTTCATTTGTTTTCGTTGGATTTTTGTTTTTTTGTTTTTTTGTTTCGTTTCGTTTTTTCGTTTGTTTTCGTTTGTTTTCGTTTTTTGTTTTCGTTTTGTTTTGTTTTCGTTTGTTTTCGTTTGTTTTCATTGGATGTTTTCCAGGTTTATCCGTTTATAAAATCTGAAGTTCTGACGTTTGTGTTTTTGTTTGTGTTTGTTTTTCCGCAGGAGAAACACGCCGACAGCCTCATCCAAAACCAGCACTACCAGGTGAGAACAACAACAACAACAACAACACACACACTCGTTTCCACGGAGACGTCACCGCTGTGTCTGGAATGTCCCGCAGTGTGACTTTAAACAGATCGACTTTATTTTAGAAAAAAAAAAACTTTCGGAGGAGAGAAAGAGAGAGAAGGAAGAGAGGGAAGGGAAAAGAAAGAGAGAGGAGGGAGATAGGGTGGAGGGAGAGAGAGGAGAGAGCGTAGGGAGAGGGAGTGATGGAGAGAATAAAGAGGGAGAGAGTAAAGAGGGAGAGAGAGGTGAGAGAGGAGGGAGAGAGGAGAAAAAGAGAGGAGGGAAGGGAGACGACAGAGGTACGGAGGGAGGGAGGAGGAGAAAAATAGAGGAGGGAGAGGACAGAAGGAGGGATGGAGGGAGGGAGGAAGGAGAAAGAGAGAGGAGAGGGTAAAGGGATAGAGGGAGAGAGAAGAGAAATGTAGGGGAAGGGAGTGATGAGAAAATAGAGAGGAGGGAAGAGAGGGACAGAGGGGGGGAGAGAGAGGCGTTGGAGGGGTAAGAGAATAAAGAGGAAGAGGAAAGAAGAGAGAATAAAGAGGGAGAGGAGTAGAAGGAAGGGAAGGAGGAGGGAGGGGAGGAGAAATAGGATAAGGGAGAGAGAGAGAGAGGATAGAGGGATAGAGGAGGGAGGAGAAAGGAGGGAGAGAGAAGAGAGAGTGTAGGGAAGAAGGAGGATGGAGAGAGTAAAGAGAGGGGAGAGAGAAAAAGAGGAGGGGAGGACAGGGAGGGAGTAAAGAATAAGAGATAGAGAGAGGGTGGAGGGAGAGAGCATAAAGGGAGGAGGGAGAGAGAGAGAGTCGAAGGAAGGAGAAGTGAGGAAGGATTGGAAGAGGGAGGAGAAAGAGAGAGCGCGAGAGAAGAGGGAGGAAAGCGAGGGAGGAGAAATAGGATAGGAGGGAGAGGACAGGGAAGAAGGGGGAGGACGAGAGAGGTAGAGGGTTGGAGGGAAGAGGAGAAAGAGAGAGGAGGGAGGGAGTAAAAGAAGGTAAAGAGAGAGAGAGGGAGTAAAGAGGAAGAGGAAGGAAGGAAGAGAGAATAAAGAGGGAGGGAGAGAGACAGTAGAAGGATGGAGAGAGAGAGAGGAGGGAGTGAGAGAGGGGAGAAAGAGAGGATAGAGGGAGGGAGAGGGTATATGAGGGAGAGAGGGAGAAGGGAGGAGGAGAGAGAGAGAGTGTAGAGAGGGAGTGATGGAGAGGAGAGAGAGGGAGAGGAGAAAGGAGGAAGGAGAGAGGGAGTAAAGAAAGAAGAGAGCGAGAGGGAGGAGGGGGAGAGAGAGGAAAAGGAAGAAGGAAAGGAAGTGGAGGAGAGAGGAGAAAGTGAGAGAATAGAGGGGAAGGAAACAGGGGGAGGGAAGAAGAGTAGGGAGGAGAGAATAGAGGAGAGAAGTAAAGTGGGAGAGGGAGGAGGGAGGAGGAGAGAGACAGAGTGGAGGGAGAGAGAGGATAGAGGATATAGGGATGGAGGGAGAGAGGAAGGGTCAGGAGAGAAAGACGAGAGGGAGGAGGAGGAAAAGAAAGTAAAGAGGACAGACGGTACAGGAGGGAGGAGAAAGAAGAGAAAGAGGGAGAGACTGGAGGGAGGAGAGCGTAAAGAGGGAGGAAGAGAGAGGGGAGGGGATCAGAAGAGGACACGAGGAAGAGAGGGAGAGTGAAAGAGAGAGAGAAGGAGGTGATGGGAAGAAAAGAGAGAGGATGGAGCGTTGACAGAGAGATGAGATGGTAGACGGATGGATGGATGGTAGACGGATTAGATAGATAGATGGAATGGATGGATGAATAGATGGATGGATGGATGGATAATGGATGGGAAGGATAGATAGATAGACGGATGGATGATGACGAGATGATGGATGATGGAGGATGGATAGACGGATGGCGGATGGATGGATGGATGGATGATAGACGGATGGATGATGTGGAATGGATAGACGGATGGAGACGGATGGATGGATATGAAAGACGGATGGATGGATGGATGGATGGACGGGATGGATGGGACGGATGGAACGGATGGATGGATAGAGGATGGATGGATGGATGGATAGACGGATGGATGGATGATGGATAGAGGATGGATGGATAGATGGAAGACGGATGGGGATGGATGGATGGATGGATGGATGGATAGACGGATGGATAGATGGATAGACGGATGGATGGATGGATGGATATGGATAGATAGACGGATGGATGGATAGACGGAAGGATGGAATGGAATAGATAGAGATGATGGATAGACGGATGGACGGATGGATGGATAGACGGATGGTGGATGATGGATAGACGATGGATGGATAGATGGATGGATGGATAGATGGATGGATAGAATGATGGATGGATGGAATGATGGATGGATGGATGATAGATGGATGGATGGATGGATGGATGGATGATGGGATGGATGGATGGATGGATGGATGGAATGGTGGATAGACGGATGGATGGATGGATAGATAGACGGATGATGGAATGGATGGATGGATAGACGGATGGATGGATGATGGGATAGCGGATGGATGGATGGATGGATAGACGGATGGATGGATGGATGGATGGATGGATGGATGGATGGATAGATGGATGGATGGATGGATAGACGGATGGATGGATGGATGGATAGAGGATGGATGGATGGATGGTTTTGTCTCTGTAAGACAGAAAGGTTAAGTCCACTGTGAACATTCCAGACAAAACAGTAACATAAATCGTAGTAAGAGTAAAGAAAGCGTTGGGTTTTTGTTTTTTTTTTTTTGGAGAAAATAATTGAAAAAAATCAGTGTAAATGTGCAGAGTTTGTGAGTTAAACTTGTGAATGAAACAAAAAAAAAAAAACTCAACTCCAGGTTTGTTTGTTTTTTGTGTGGAGGAAACTAAATCAGGAGAGAGAAAAGTGTAACTGGGGCGGTTCAGTCGAGGAGATCGGAGAATCTCGAGAAGCGGTGGGCGAACGATCGACAATCACATTTGCATCTTCACTTTAGTTTCTCGGACAGAACTGGCGGCGGTTTCGCTCGCTCCGTCTTTTCGTTTGGCCGTCCTCGCGTTTGGCGGCCGGCGATGGCGATGGCGATGGCGGCGGCGGCGGCGGTGCGGCTGTTCGCGGTTGTGAGCGATGATGATGTTGTTGGCGGCGGCGGCGCTGCTGCTGCTCCTCCGTGATGCTTTGGCAGACAGGTGCGGCGTGGGAGGACTGGCACCGTCTCCCCGGCACCAAATGTTCATGAAATTCAGCAAATAAAAAAAAAAAAAAACAGGTCAAAGCGGATTTAGTCCATCAAACCTGAAACGCTCCAGGATCTGTGTTTAAAGAGACACGTTCAACTCTTCTCTCCCGGTTCTGTTCTAACAGCGTCTCTGTTCTAACAGCGTTCTAAACACTCTGTTCTAACCGTTCAGCGTTCTCGTTCTGTTCTCATTGCGTTTTTGTTCTAACAGCGTCTCTGTTCTAACAGCGTTTCATGTTTCTAACAGCGTCTCTGTTTTAACAGCGTCTCTGTTCTAACAGCGTCTCTGTTCTAACAGCGTCTCTGTTCTAACAGCGTTTATGTTCTAACAGCGTTTATGTTCTAACAGCGTCTCTGTTCTAACAGCGTTTATGTTCTAACATGTTCTACAAAACAGCGTTTATGTTTCTGTTCTAACAGCGTTTATGTTCTAACAGCGTTCTGTTCTAACAGCGTCTCTGTTCTAACAGTGTCTCTGTTCTAACAGCGTCTCTGTTCTAACAGCGTCTCTGTTCTAACAGCGTTTATGTTCTAACAGCGTTTATGTTCTAACAGCGTCTCTGTTCTAACAGCGTCTCTGTTCTAACAGCGTTTCTGTTCTAACAGTGTTTATGTTCTAACAGCGTTTCTGTTCTAACAGCGTTTATGTTCTAACAGCGTCTGTTCTAACAGCGTTTCTGTTCTAACAGCGTTTCTGTTTTCTAACAGCGTTTCAGTTTAACAGTGTTTATGTTCTAACAGCGTTTATGTCTCTGTTCTAACAGCGTTTAGTTCTCTGTTCTCTGTTCTAACAGCGTCTTCTGTTCTAACAGCGTTTATGTTCTAACAGCGTCTCTGTTCTAACAGCGCTCTGTTCTAACAGCGTTTCTGTTCTAACAGCGTTTATGTTCTAACAGCGTTTATGTTCTAACAGCGTCTCTGTTCTAACAGCGTCTCTGTTCTAATGTCGTTTACTCAGTTTGTTGTTTCATTCACATGTTTAAAACACAAACTCTGCACATTTACACTGAGTTTTTCTTGCAAATCTAGTTTAGACCTGGTTTAGACCTGGTTTAGACCTGGTTTAGTCCTGGTTTAGACCTGGTTTAGACCTGGTTTTAGACTGGTTTAGACCTGGTTTAGATCTAGTTTTAGGACCTGGTTTAGTCCTGGTTTTTAGGCCTGGTTTAGACCTGGTTTAGACCTGTTTTAGACTAGTTTAGGCCTGGTTTAGTCCTGGTTTTAGGCCTGGTTTTTAGTCCTGGTTTAGACCTGGTTTTAGACCTGGTTTAGACCTGGTTTAGACCTGGTTTAGACCTGGTTTAGTCCTGGTTTAGACCTGGTTTAGACCTGGTTTTAGACCTGACCTGGTTTAGACCTGGTTTAGATCTAGTTTAGACCTGGTTTAGACCTGGTTTAGACCTGGTTTAGGCCTGTTTTTTTTGGTAGAAACTTTGGTTTGTAAAATATTTGCAGCAATGACTTTAAAGAGTTCAATGAATGCAGAGTTTGTTGTTTCATTCACATGTTTAGAACACAAACTCTGCTAGACTAAACCAGGACTAAACCAGGACTAAACCAGGACTAGACCAGGACTAAAACCAGGACTAACCAGGACTAAACCAGGACAGGACTAAGGACTAAACCAGGACTAACCAGGACTAAACCAGGGACTAGACCAGGACTAACCAGAACTAAACCAGGACTAAACCAGGACTAAACCAGGACTAAACAACAGGACTAGACCAGGACTAGGACTAACCAGGACTAAACCAGACTAAACCAGGACTAAACCAGGACTAAACCAGGACTAAACCAGGACTAAACCAGGACTAGACAGGACTACAGGACTAAACCAGGACTAGACCAGGACTAACCAGGACTAGACTAGACCAGGACTGATCCAGTGTCATTAGTGGAGTATAAATATAAACTGGCTCCAGTCGTCGAGTCGATTTCCTCCGCTGATGTTTTATGTCATAAAAACTCTAAAGTCTCAGTCTGGTCTGACATGGTTTCGGGAAAAGACCAGGACCGGGCTCTTGTTTCCAAGGCAACGGACGCACGTCAAGTATTTTGCGCCGGTCCGGCGTCAGTGACATGTCGGGGGAGTCTAAACTCAAATGCAAAGGCGTCCAAACAGAGGAAACATCATTAGAACACGAATTAAAGCTGCACTGTGTAACTTTTCTGGTGGGGCATCCATCAAATACGTTTTTTCGTCTGGAATGTTCCTCAGTCTGGCTTTAAACTTTCTGAATGTACAAGAAAAATCTGATATTTTTGGTCAGATTGTGTTAAACTGAAGCTCAAATTAGAGTCGAACTTGAGTCACAGAGCTTCAGACGGAGCAGTGCCTCGGGTTAGCTCCGCCCCCACAGCTCACATCAGGACCACCGCTGCCATGGCAACTAACAACAAAATAAAATCGTCGATTATTCTGTATTTTCAATGGTCCAAAGTCCTCAAAATGGCGTCGACGTAACAGGAAAAAAACATCACGCTGCTTTTCCGCTTTTCTTCACGGAGATGTTATTGTTTACAGTATGTGTCTGGAATGTTCCGCAGTGTGGCTTTAAACCTTTCTGTTGTCACGGAGACCAAACCAGACCAGGTTACAGGTCAGATCTGTGGAGAGGCGACCCCGCTCACAGTCACAGTGTCTGTTTTTCGAGGGATTTTTGAGCACTAAAAAAAAACAAAAAAAAAAAAAACCACCTGTAATTGAATAAATGTAAAGTCGAGCTGTTTAAAGTCACACTGTGGAACATTCCAGAGCAGAGCAACGACGTAACCATAGAAACAAGAAGGTGACGGAGAAGTTTTGTGTAACGTACTAACTTAAACTTATAATTTGAAGTTCTGATCATTTCAAAGTCAAACCATTAAATAATTCACATAAAGTACGATTTCTGGATTTATTCTCTCCTGATTTTTTTTTTTTTTTGTTTACTTGTGTTATAATCGACCTGTAACCATGGCGACTGTGTCCAACAGGAAGTGATCCGTAGCCTGGTGAAGCGGTACGTGGCGGCCATGATCCGCAGCGCCAAGACGGACGAGGGGCTCACCGAGGAAAACTTCAAGGTGGGACTTTTACCAACCGAGGATTTTTGTGTCTAAAGGTGCAGTGCGGAACATTTCTGCTGGAGCGTCCGCCGCCTGTTTGTCTCCATGGAAACGTCATCACTTTGTCTAGAANTCACATCAGGACCACCGCTGCCATGGCAACTAACAACAAAATAAAATCGTCGATTATTCTGTATTTTCAATGGTCCAAAGTCCTCAAAATGGCGTCGACGTAACAGGAAAAAAAACATCACGCTGCTTTTCCGCTTTTCTTCACGGAGATGTTATTGTTTACAGTATGTGTCTGGAATGTTCCGCAGTGTGGCTTTAAACCTTTCTATTGTCACGGAGACCAAACCAGACCAGGTTACAGGTCAGATCTGTGGAGAGGCGACCCCGCTCACAGTCACAGTGTCTGTTTTTCGAGGGATTCTTGAGCACTAAAAAAAACAAAAAAAACAAAAACACCTGTAATTGAATAAATGTAAAGTTGAGCTGTTTAAAGTCACACTGTGGAAACATTCCAGAGCAGAGCAACGACGTAACCATAGAAACAAGAAGGTGACGGAGAAGTTTTGTGTAACGTACTAACTTAAACTTATAATTTGAAGTTCTGATCATTTTCAAAGTCAAACCATTAAATAATTCACATAAAGTACGATTTCTGGATTTATTCTCTCCTGATTTTTTTTTTTTTTTGTTTACTTGTGTTATAATCGACCTGTAACCATGGCGACTGTGTCCAACAGGAAGTGATCCGTAGCCTGGTGAAGCGGTACGTGGCGGCCATGATCCGCAGCGCCAAGACGGACGAGGGGCTCACCGAGGAAAACTTCAAGGTGGGACTTTTACCAACCGAGGATTTTTGTGTCTAAAGGTGCAGTGCGGAACATTTCTGCTGGAGCGTCCGCCGCCTGTTTGTCTCCATGGAAACGTCATCACTTTGTCTAGAATGTTGCACAGTACAGATTAAAAATAGGGAGTATTAGCTGTTACATAAGGATGAGTTGTTGTAGAGTTGTAGGGAGTATTATCTGTTGTTGTGCAGTTGTAGGGAGTTATTATTTGTTTGTGAGTTTGTAGGGAGTATTATCTGTTGTTGTTTAGTCAGTTTAGTAGGGAGTATTATTGTTTGTTGTGCAGTTTGTAGGGAGTATTATCTGTTGTTGTTGTACAGTTGTAGGGAGTATTATCTGTTTGTGTTGTGTTGTTGTAGTGTTGTAGGGAGTATTATCTTGTTTGTTTGTACAGTTGTAGGGAGTATTATCTGTTGTACTTGTTGTTTGTAGGAGTATTATCTGTTTGTTGTACAGTTGTAGGGAGTATTATTGGTTGTACGGTTGTAGGGAGTATTATCTGTTGTTGTGCAGTTGTTTGTAGGGAGTATTATCTGTTACACAAGGGTGAGTTATTGTACAGTTGTAGGGAGTATTATCTGTTGTACACGTTTACACTTGTAGGGAGTATTATCTGTTACACAAAGGTGAGTTTATTGTACAGTTGTAGGGAGTATTATCTGTTGTTGTACAGTTGTAGGGAGTATTATTTGTTGTTGTACACTTGTAGGGAGTATTATTTGTTGTTGTACAGTTGTAGGGAGTATTATCTGTAACATAAGGGTGAGTTATTGTACACTTGTAGGGAGTATTATCTGCATCTACCACAAAGGAGACAGGCAGGTTCCGGGTCAGATCTGTGGAGAGGCTTTACAGTTATTCAATCACAGGTGCATTTTTTAAAGCTCAAAAAGTCCCTCAAACGGGGGTGGCCTCTCCGCAGACCTGACCCGGAACTTGGTCTGGTTCGGTCTCCGTGAAGACAGAAAGGTTTAACAGCCTCCAGAAAAGTTCCACAGTGCAGCTTTTTTACATAAACATATCGCAGTATTTTGTATTTATTTTTATATGTAGACCTGGTTTAGTCCTGGTTTAGTCCTGGTTTAGTCCTGGTTTAGTCCTGGTTTAGTCCTGGTTTAGTCCTGGTTTAGACCTGGTTTAGTCCTGGTTTAGTCCTGGTTTAGACCTGGTTTAGACCTGGTTTAGTCCTGGTTTGTCCTGGTTTAGACCTGGTTTAGTCCTGGTTTAGTCCTGGTTTAGACCTGGTTTAGTCCTGGTTTAGTCCTGGTTTAGTCCTGGTTTAGTCCTGGTTTAGTCCTGGTTTAGTCCTGGTTTAGACCTGGTTTAGTCCTGGTTTAGACCTGGTTTACCTGGTTTAGACCTGGTTTAGTCCTGGTTTAGTCCTGGTTTAGACCTGACCTTTTAGTCCTGGTTTAGTCCTGGTTTAGTCCTGGTTTAGTCACCTGGTTTAGTCCTGGTTTAGACCTGGTTTAGAACCTGGTTTAGTCCTGGTTTAGTCCTGGTTTAGTCCTGGTTTAGACCTGTTAGTCTGGTTTATTCCTGGTTTAGACCTGTTTAGTAGTTGGTTAGCTGTTTAGTCCTGGTTTAGACTGGTTTAGACCTGGTTTAGTCCTGGTTTAGACCTGGTTTAGTCCTGGTTTAGACCTGGTTTTAGTCCTGGTTTAGTCCTGGTTTAGTCCTGGTTTAGGTCCTGGTTTATTCCTGGTTCTTAGACCTGGTTTAGACCTGGTTTAGTCCTGGTTTAGACCTGGTTTTAGTCCTGGTTTAGTCCTGGTTTAGACCTGGTTTAGTCCTGGTTTAGACGTTTTAGACCTGGTTTAGAGTGGTTTAGTCCTGGTTTAGACCTGGTTTAGTCCTGTTTAGACCTGGTTTAGTCCTGGTTTTAGTCCTGGTTTAGACCTGGTTAGTCCTGGTTTAGTCCCTGGTTTAGACCTGGTTTAGTCCTGGTTTAGTCCTGGTTTAGTCCCTGGTTTAGTCCTGGTTTAGTCCTGGTTTAGACCTGTTTAGTCCTGGTTTAGACCTGGTTTAGTCCTGGTTTAGTCCTGGTTTTAGACCTGGTTTAGTCCTGGTTTAGTCCTGGTTTAGTCCTGGTTTACCTGGTTTAGTCCTGGTTTAGTCCTGGTTTATTCCTGGTTTAGTCCTGGTTTAGTCCTGGTTAGGACCTGGTTTAGAACCTGGTTTAACCTGGTTTAGTCCTGGTTTAGACTGGTTTTAGTCTGGTTAGTCTGTTTAGTCCTGTTTAGTCCTTTTAGGTTTAGACCTGTTTAGACCTGGTTAGACCTGGTTTAGTCCTTGGTTTAGACCTGGTTCCTGGTTTAGTCCTGGTTTAGTCCTGGTTTAGTCCTGGTTTAATCGGGTCTAAACCTCCATTTTCCACTTTTCCTCTTAAATCCAAATATTCCGAGCGGCTGGAGTTTGGACGAGCGGCTTTTGAAGTGGGATATTTTTTCCTTTGGGCTTTCGAGCGAAAAAAAAAAAAAGAAAAAAAAAGAAAAAAAGGAAAAGAAAAAGAAAAGAACCCTCCCTCCCTCCCTCCCTGCCGTCGTGCGTTGCTCATCTCGGTGTTTTTCCGAGTGAGAAGGAGATTTAGGACGGAACAAAAACGTGCTAAACTAACATCAGCTGGAGCCACAGTCCCACCGGAAAAAAAAAAAAAAAAAAAACGGAAAAAAAAAACCCTGGAACATTTGGACGCCATATGTGCTGTTATTTATTAAAGGGAGAGAGGTTTAAAAGAGTTCACGTCACGCGGTTTTTCTCTGGTTTTAATCGAGTTTCCTCATCACAAAAAGACGGAAAGTGTGTCTGAATGTCGCCCCCGGCTCCTCGTCCTCGAGTCTGAAACTCAAACTGAAAATATGATCAAAGCAAGAAATTCTCTCTAAATCTGAGCAAAACAAAATGATTTTATTTGGAAATCACAACGATAAAAAGTAAATTAAGATGAAAATACATAGAAAGGTTAAAAAAAAGACTAAAACACCAGACTAAAGACTAAACCAGGAACCAGACTAAACCAGGACTAAACCAGACTAAACCAGGAAACTAAACCAGAACGGGACTAAACCAGGGACTAAACCCAGGAACTAAACCAGGAAACCAGGCTCTAAAGGATAAACAGGACGAAACCAGGTCTAAACAGGACTAAACCAGGACTTAAACCAGGACTAAACCAGGAGGACTAAAAAACAGGACTAAACAGGACTAAACTAGGACTAAACCAGGTCTAAACTAAATCAGGAAAAACCAGAAAACCAGGTCTAAACCAGGACTAAACCAGGTCTTAAACCAGGACTAAACCTAAACCAGGACTAAACCAAACTAACCAGGACTAAACAGGACTAAACCAGGACTAAACCAGGACTAAACCAGGACTAACAGGACTAAACCAGGTCTAAACCAGGACTAAAACCAGGACTAAACCAGGCTAAACCAGGACTAAAACAAACCAGGACTAAAACTAAACCAGGACTAAACCAGGACTAAACCAGGACTAAATCAGGATAAATCAGGAAACTAAACAGGACTAAAACAGGACTAAAACTGGACTAAAACTGGACTAAATCAGGACTAAATCAGGACTAAACCAGGTCTAAATCAGGTCTAAACCAGGACTAAACCAGGTCTAAACCAGGACTAAACCAAGGACTCTAAATCAGGACTAAACCAGGTCTAAACCAGGTTCTAAACCAGGACTAAACCAGGTCTTAAACCAGAAAACCAAATCCTAAAACTGTAAACCAGGACTAAACCAGTTTACCAGAACTAGATTCCAATTTCTTAGTCCAAGATTAGTCCTGGTTTGGTCCTGGTTCAGTCCTGGTTTAGACCTGGTTTAGTCCTGTTTAGTTTAGTCCTGGTTTAGACCTGGTTTAGTCCTGGTTTAGTCCTGGTTGAGTTCTGGTTTGGGCTTCTTTGTTTAGTCCAGTTTTGAAGTCACTCGCCCCACAGTGTCCACCTCCACACAGACACACCGAGTTTAAGATCTGCGGAGAGGAGAGCCGCTCAGAGCGAGAGAGACAGGAGCAGACAGGTGCAGACAGGAGCAGACAGGTGCAGACAGGAGCAGACAGGTGCAGACAGCAGAGCAGACAGGTGCAGAGCAGAGCAGACAGGAGCAGACAGGTGCAGACAGGAGCAGACAGGAGCAGACAGGAGCAGGACAGGAGCAGGACAGGTGCAGACAGACAGGTGCAGACAGGAGCAGACAGGAGCAGACAGGAGCAGACAGGTGCAGACAGGTGCAGACAGGTGCAGGAGAAAGTGTTATTTTGAGGTTAGGTGTTTGTAAATGGATCCGGGCTCGGGGGGTTGAGGAAGTGTCGGGGTAAAGCAGAGCACAGTCACGGTCCGGTGTCACCTGATGATGTCACCTGATGATGTCACCTGATGATGTCACCTGATGATGTCACCTGATGATGTCACGCAGTGAACGTCTGACCCCAGAGAGACGAGGTCACTGATGGAACAGGACGACCGCGTGGAGCCCAGCGACGGGAAGCAGTTAGGGACAAAAAGCACCGAAAAAAAAACAAAACACCGCAAGTAAAAAGGTCTTTATAAAATCTTCAGTTCCACACGAGGGACGGAACAATAACGGAAATATTTAGATCTGGTTTAGACCTGGTTTAGTACTGGTTTAGTCCTGGTTTAGTCCTGGTTTAGACCTGGTTTAGTCCTGGTTTAGTCCTGGTTTAGACCTGGTTTAGTCCTGGTTTAGTTCAGTCCTGGTTTTAGACCTGGTTTAGACCTGGTCCTGGTTTAGTCCTGGTTTAGTCCTGGTTTAGACCTGGTTTAGTCCTAGTTTAGACCTGGTTTAGACCTGGTTTAGTCCTGGTTTAGTGTTTAGACCTGGTTTAGTCCTTGTTTAGACCTGGTTTAGTCCTAGTTTAGACCTGGTTTAGTCCTGGTTTAGTCCTGGTTTAGACCTGGTTTAGTCCTGGTTTAGGAAAATGTTGAAAACCCGTTCTCTCTCTCTGTCTCAGCTTCTGTGAGCCTCATCTTGGTCTTAAATATTCGTATAAATTCTCTCTACACGATCCTGAGGTTTTTATTTCACTCTTTTGTCCGTAAAACAAATCCTGTTCCTCAAAACCGCAGACCTCACTGAGCTTCATTTGACTGGAGCTGATCTGGGTCCACTTCTTTACACCGTTTCTGTGAACAAGACAAAGTTCGTTCGGGCTCTGACATTTCATACTCCGAGAGACGTTCACACACTTTTGCGTCACCGTCTGCAGCAGATTTATTCCCGGAAACGCTCGGAAAACACGGAATAAAAAGTGAAAACGCGATGCCACTTTTACGTCTTCTGTTCAGACCGTCATCGTGTAAACGTCGCCTGAGAGAAGAACTTTGTCCCTTTCAAAAACCCAAAGAACCTTGTGTCTTTGTTGTACGCAGATTCCTCACGTTTTCTGTTTGTTTTTCCTTCTAGGAGCTGAAGCAGGACATCTCCAGTTTCCGCTACGAAGTCTTGGATCTTTTGGGAAACCGTCGACCTCCGCGAAGGAACTACTCATCGTCCAGCGAGACCACGAGAGAAGACGGCAACACCGCTTCCGAAGACGACAGCGAATCTGGCGACGGCGGAGGAGGAGGAGGAGGAGGAACCGGAGAGAAATCGCAAAAACCGTCGAAAGGAGTCAGCTTCATGGTGCCGCTGGAGGAAGACTCCGGCGCGGGATCTAACCTGGGCGTTTCCGCTTTGGTCCGATCGATTTCCGGGATGCCTTCTTCGGAAAAGGCGAGCGGGCCGGAGGAGGAGGGGCTGGGCTGGGGTTTGGAAGAGGAAGAAGAAGACGGGAAACCAAAAAGCAACGGGCTAAAAACAAACGTCATGTCCGCCACGTCCGCGACCATGCTCGCCTCCACGTCCTTCACGTCGTCCCTGGCGAGAGCCCGAAGCCGACTACAGCAGATGTCAACCACCAGCGGAAAAACGGACTCCTTCAAACGCCTGTCCTACCTGTTTTCCCGATCCAAACGCAAAGCCCCGCCCGTCCCTTTACCGCTCCAAACCTCGCCGAGCTTCACGATTTCCGACGGGTTACTGCGACCGCTGGGCAGCCACGGACACGCCGACTTCGGCCACGTGACGAGGAGCGAGCCCCACCTGCACGAAGTGGGGCGCTCCGCCGCGGACAGCATCGGCGCGGCGTTCTCGCCCTCGCGCCGCACGAACGGACGGGACTCGCTGCTCGCCGCCCTGCCCCGCCCCCCGCCCTGCCCCTGCCAATCGCTGCACTGCGCTTCCAACATGTCCGAATCCAGCTCGCGGCTCCTGGACTCCAGCGAGGACGTTTTCCAGGGAGGCGGCGTCGGGATGGGGATGCCGGGGTTGCCGGGGTTGTCGGCGGCGGAGCAAATTTCAGGAAGCGGGCGGGGCTCGTTAATGGGCGGGTGGGTGGGGCCTTGCGATGATGTCATGGAGGACAGCTGCGAGGTCATCGAGGAATCGGTGACGACGCAGCTATAGGACGGACTCGGTCGCGTGACTGTTACCGTTTTCGTTTCGTTCGTTTGTTCGGAAAATAACGGCGAGAGACAGAGAGAGAGGTGGGCGGAGCCAGGAGCCAACTCGGGATTCGGAGGTCGGTCGCCGCTACGGGATTTTTTTTTTAGCGGATTTTCTACGAAGGCAGTTTGATGTCATCTGGACAACTTCACCAGCATGTAAACCCAGATCTATATTTAAAAAGCATTTAACGAAATACTATTTATTATTTATTCTTTTTCTAAATCCATAAACAAACTCCACCTCATGTCAGTTCACAGCAGAGGTGGGACCTGCGAGTCGTGACTTGGACTCGAGTCAGACTTGAGGCACTATTTTTAAGACTTGAGACTTGATAAAAATGGATTAAGACTTGGGACTTGACTAAGACTTGAGGCCTGTGACTTGAAAAGACTCGATGCTTCTCCTAAAAAAAAACATATATATATTTATATATATATATATGTGTGTGTTTTTAGAAAATACTTTAGAATTTTAGATTTGTAAAATTTTCCGACGTCTGTTTGGTCATTTGGATCAGATTCCTGCACCGGGTAAAAGTTGCTGAAACGGGCGAGTTTTAACATTCTGGAATTTTATGATACGGTAGTGATTACACACGGTCAGGACTAAACCAGGACTAAACCAGGACTAATCTTGGACTTAAGTCCTGGTGTAGTCCTGGAATCAGTCCTGGTTTAGTCCTGGGTTAGTCCTGGTTCAGTCCTGGGTTAGTCCTGGTTTAGTCCTGGTTCAGTCCTGTGTTAGTCCTGGGTTAGTCCTGGTTCTAGTCCTGGTTTAGTCCTGGGTTAGTCGTGGTTCAGTCCTGGTTTAGTCCTGGGTTAGTCCTGGTTCAGTCCTGGGTTAGTCCTGGTTCTAGTCCTGGTTTAGTCCTGGTTAGTCCTGGTTCAGTCCTGGTTTAGTCCTGGTTTAGTCCTGGTTTAGTCCTGGTTTAGTCCTGGTTTAGTCCTGGTTTAGTCCTGGTTTAGTCCTGGTTTAGTCCTGGTTTAGTCCTGGTTTAGTCCTGGTTTAGTCCTGGTTTAGTCCTGGTTTAGTCCTGGCTTGTTTCTTCTGCTCAGTAAATAATGTGTCTGAGCAGAATTCTAGTCTGTGAATTCGTTCTGAAGAAAGTGAAACAGTTTCATTTAATTTGGTGATTGTGATTCTTGAAGTCGTCACTTTTCTGATGGATTCTTCAGTTAGAGTTTTTAGTCTGTGTGGGGTTAATCCCGGGCACGGACGGGTAACGGGGGCATGTTGACGGGTCTGGGTGGTGGAGGGTCCAAAAATGGACCCGAATAAAATGACAAATTATTAGAATCGGCCTTTTTTAATTTGGCTTCTATGTTGTAGTTGAGGCTATAGGGACATTTTCATATTTAGGTTTGAGCAAAACCTAAATATTAATTCATATATCCAGATCTGGAAACAAACGCAGGGTTCTAATCTAGAGAATCAAAAATAAATAAATAATAGTCATATATAAATATACCACCACTTTTTAACAACAATTTAGTTTAAAATTCATATAAATTGCAAAAATCTTGGTGCTTTGTTTTAAAGATTTGAAATGACTTGAAGCTCAAAAAACTTGGACTTGACTTGGACTTATGACCCAGTGACTCGAGACTCGACTTGGACTTGACTTGGACTTATGACCCAGTGACTCCAGACTCGACTTGGACTTGACTTGGACTTATGACCCAGTGACTCGAGACTCGACTTGGACTTGACTTGGACTTATGACCCAGTGACTCGAGACTCGACTTGGACTTGACTTGGACTTATGACCCAGTGACTCCAGACTCGACTTGGACTTGACTTGGACTTATGGGCCAGTGACTCCAGACTCGACTTGGACTTGACTTGGACTAATGACCCAGTGACTCCAGACTCGACTTGGACTTGACTTGAATTTATGACCCAGTGACTCCAGACTCGACTTGGACTTGACTTGAACTTATGACCCAGTGACTCCAGACTCGACTTGGACTTATGACCCAGTGACTCGAGACTCGACTTGGACTTGACTTGAATTTATGACCCAGTGACTCCAGACTCGACTTGGACTTGACTTGAACTTATGACCCAGTGACTCCAGACTCGACTTGGACTTATGACCCAGTGACTCCAGACTCGACTTGGACTTGACTTGGACTTATGACCCAGTGACTCCAGACTCGACTTGGACTTGCCTGTATTTGACTCGGGACTTGACTCGGACTCGAGGCTTTCAAAACAACGGCTCGGTCCCTCCTCTGGTTCACACCGACCAGTTTTGTAAAACGATTTGATTTTCGCCGACAACAGTGACACAGGAAACACGTCGCCGCCATCAGAAAACCGCATGTCGTTCTGATATTTACTCTCCCGTTCTTTACGCATGTTCGACTGTATTTGTAGTTCGCGTAGTTTAGCGTAGTTTAGCGTAGCCCGTAGCGTTAGAAAATGACTTGGTAGACGACGCTCGCACTTTAAAGTCGATAAACCGTGAAGATGATGTCAGTTTTCAAGAAAGTTATTTTAAACGTAAAACAACAATAACTTTTTAAAATGCGCTTTGTGTTTTTTTTTAGTTTGTGTCCAAAACCGACCAGGGATCCGGCGTTTTCAGTTTTGATACTTTGATTTTAACTTTATCTGCAAATCACTGATACTAACTTAACTTATTTCCTTAAAACTTTATTAACTTATAAACTGAAACAAATCTTGAGACAGAAGAGGTAAAAGTACTTTTGACCTGCTGACATCTGAGACTTACGGCCTATTCATACTTCGTAAGAACATCACCAGTGTTGGGGAGTTTACTTTTAAAATGTAATCCCCTACAGATTACAGATTACATACACCAAAATGTAGTTTGTAACGGAATCCATTAAATTACTTAAAGTGAGTAATGTAATCTGAATACTTTGGATTACTTGGTTTGTTGTAGAGAAACAAAGACGAGGAAATCTTCACATAAGAAGTTTTGTCTGATAAAAGAAAATGAAAAGGCCGAGTCTTTAAAAATATTATTGATAGAAGAGGATGGCAGCATGGTTAGTCCTGTTAAATCCTGTTTTAGTCCTGGTTTAGTTCTTGTTTAGACCTGGTTTTAGTCCTGGTTTAGTCCTGGTTTTATTCCTGGTTTAGTTCTTGTTTAGTCCTGGTTTAGTTCTTGTTTAGTCCTGGTTTTAGTCCTGGTTTAGTTCTTGTTTAGTCCTGGTTTAGACCTAGTTTAGACCTGGTTTTAGTCCTGGTTTAGTCCTGGTTTAGACCTAGTTTTAGACCTGGTTTTAGTCCTGGTTTAGTCCTGGTTTTATTCCTGGTTTAGTTCTTGTTTAGTCCTGGTTTAGACCTAGTTTAGACCTGGTTTTAGTCCTGGTTTAGTCCTGGTTTTATTCCTGGTTTAGTTCTTGTTTAGTCCTGGTTTAGACCTAGTTTAGACCTGGTTTTAGTCCTGGTTTAGTCCTGGTTTTATTCCTGGTTTAGTTCTTGTTTAGTCCTGGTTTAGACCTAGTTTAGACCTGGTTTTAGTCCTGGTTTAGTCCTGGTTTTATTCCTGGTTTAGTTCTTGTTTAGTCCTGTTTTAGTTCTTGTTTAGTCCTGGTTTTAGTCCTGGTTTAGTCCTGGTTTTATTCCTGGTTTAGTTCTTGTTTAGTCCTGGTTTTAGTCCTGCTTTAGTCCTGGTTTAGACCTAATTTAGACCTGGTTTAGTCCTTGTTTAGTCCTGGTTTTATTCCTGGTTTAGTTCTTGTTTAGTCCTGGTTTTAGTTAGTCCTGGTTTAGACCTAATTTAGACCTGGTTTAGTCCTGGTGAGTGGAATTACCCAGAGAGAAAAAAAAAAAAAAAAGGATATAACCCCAAAATGTGACAACAGGAAAGTCCCTCTGTGTAATCCATTTATTTCAACAAAGTAACTGTAATCCAATTACCACTCATACAGTTACAGTTACTCATCATTTGTACTCTGATTACATAACTCCGGTACTTGTAATCTGTTACTCCCCGACACTGAACATGAGAAGTTTGTTCTTGTTCTTGAGGCGATAAAAACAAAGTTCGTTTGGGCTCTGACCTTTCATACACCCGTCCGCCCCGTCGCTTTAGTTCTATATCGAGGGGGTTTCTTTCCGTCCTCCAGCCTCACCGCTCTTTTTTTTTTTTTGGTGATCCGCCTTTTGGTTTTCGCGAACTTGTCACAGAGAATATTCCAGACTTTTCTACACTTCGTCCGAGCCTAAATGTCGGCGATCTCCCTCTGTCAGTTTCTTGCTATTTTGGTTTTAACTTTCTGGAACGTTACGAGCGGGTAGTGATTACACACGAGTGGTTCAGGACTAAATCACTACGACTACACCAGGACTAAACCAGGACTAAACCAGGTTTAAACCAGGACTAATCTTGGACTTAAGAGAGAGAAAACCTCAAGTCCGTGGAGCAGGGCGACGGCTGCACTTACCTCCGTGAGGCGTGGAGTTCTGCACCGGTCCTTTTACCTGTGGTCACCTGACGGTCTACACGGGCGCACCTCCGAGCCCGTCCCGACAGTGAGTCCTGGGTTAGTCCTGGGTTAGTCCTGGTTTAGTCCTGGTCCAGTCTGTGGCGTGTTTCTTCGGCTCAGTAAATAAAGTCTGTGAAGTGATGTCAGGCGAGTCGCGTCTGTGAATTCGTGTTCGTACTGAAGAAAGTTCGTCGTCCAGCCTGACCGCTCTTTTTTTTTTTTTTTTGGTGACCCGCCTTTTGGTTTTCGCAAACTTGTCGCAGAGAATATTCCAGACTTTTCTACACTTCGTCCGAGCCTAAATGTCGGCGATCTCCCTCTGTCAGTTTCTTGCCATTTGGCGTCTTTAAGTGACTTTAAAGACGAGCGTCGTGTCGTAGAAAATGTTTGTATTTTCTTACCGTTTCCTCCAGCTGTGACTCAAAACCATCCTGTTTTTGTTCTTGCTCCGCACCGGCGAGGAAGCAGATAAACCACGCCCACAAAAATAACCAA